GTAAAACAGTGATGCAACTCAATTTATTACAGTGACACACGCCTCCACTTCTGCCCCCCTATTCTCCACCACATGTGTACAATAGTTTCCTCTTTAAATTCCCTGATAGCAAACTTGTCACTAAAATATATTGATTGAAAACAATGTAAGTCTTGCTTGATGAACCCTCAAAGTGAACAGAGTTAGAAAGGATCTGTTTATCCGACTTTTCTCCCTATTGCTATAGATTTTGGTATCATGCTACTTTGTATTTTTTTTTTAAGATTTTATTTGTTTATTTGACAGACAGAGATCACAAATAGGCAGAGAGAGAGGAGGAAGCAGGCCTCTGGTTGAGCAGAGAGCCCGATGCAGGGCTCGATCCCAGGACCCCGGGATCATGACCTGAGCCAAAGACAGAGGCTTTAACGCACTGAGCCACCCAGGCGCCCCAGATGCTACTTAGTATTTTAAAGTCACAAGTGACCCACACAAACTTAGCCTCCCCAGAGCAAATTCAGACAGAAAAAGACTGATGTTTTGTATTCATCACAAAGCATTCAACTGAGTCCATAAGGAAAAGATCCTAATTACCAATACAGAAGGATTCCAAACAACTAAACTTTGTGTTAAAATCCTTAAAATGAAAAATATCAAAACCTCTCTAGATGTATAAAAAGAAATTAAGTCTCTCACCTCAAAAAGGTACCCTGGGGGCGCCTGGGTGGCTCAGTGGGTTGAGCCTCTGTCTTCGGCTAGGTCATGATCCTGGGGTCCAGGGATCGAGCCCCGCATTGGGCTCTCTGCTCAGTGGGAAGCCTGCTTCCATCTCTCTCTCTCTGTCTGCCTCTCTGCCTACTTGTGATCTGTCAAATAAATAAATAAAATCTTAAAAAAAAAAAAAAAAGGTACCCTACGGGGCACCTGGGGGGCTCAATGGGTTAAGCCTCTGCCTTCGGCTCAGGTCATGATCTCAGGGTCCTGGGATCGAGCCCCGAAGGGAGCCTGCTTCCCCTCCCCTCTGCCTGCTGCTCTGCCTACTTGTGATCTTTCTGTCAAATAAATAAAAATCTTAAAAGGAAAAAAAAAAAAAAAAGGCACCCTGGGCAGCACACTTCTTTTTTTTAACAATGTAAGAATGCTTTTATAGATTTCTATAGTACTTTTATAACATTTTTTGTGAGGAAAAAAACTGAATATTTTCCACTTTTATTTTTAAAAGGTAGAGAGGATCCAAAAGAAGTCTCCAAATGAGACCACCATTCCTAAATCTATAACTGTCAGAATTTGAAGTCAACAATTAGTATTTGCTTTAAATTTTCTCTTGAAGTAGAAAAAAAAAAAAAAGCACAATTTCTATATATCAAGAGTCTTAGCAATAAATCTGGCTTGATGTGAATATGGCTATATTCATAAACCTTCCTGGAGAGAGAGAGAGCCAAATAAGCTTAAATTAACCCCAAGATGGTAACAAAAGTGTAGCCTGGGGCTGTCAATTCAATTTGTACTAAATGGTTATTACTTGCAATTATGTTTCTTTCCTTCCAGTGCAGAAATAGATCTTTACCAAAATTTTCTTCATTAGCTAGAAAGATCCAAGTACCTAAATGAAGAATGCTATTATGCCTTAATCCATTAATAGGCTTGTCATAACCCAAATGTTTGTCTTTTTTCAGGGTACAAAATTTGAATTTTCTGATGCTACCGTCAGATTTATGCAACATCGTAAATGGGATTACACCACAATTTACAATACATGGTTATCTTTAATAATAATGCACCAACTAGAGAAAAGTTTGTTTCCCTGCTCCTTAAGAGAAATGCTAGAGGCATCTGGGTGGCTCAGTCATGATCCCAGGGTCCTGGGATGGTGTGTCAGTCTCCCTGCCCAGCAGGCAGTCTGCTTCTCCCGCTCCCCCTCCATCCCCACTCATACGCTGTCTCAAATAAGTAAAATCTTTTTAAAAAGGTTGGGGGGGAATACTATGCTAAGCCCAGCATATGAATTTATTTTACTGCTCTGTGAATACTCTGTTCTACTCTGTTCTCTGCAGAAGTGGACGCCTGGGGCCAATTCTGGAATCAAATCCCCAGTCTCTAAGGGTATTTCATACTCTAAGAACCCAATCTCCTTTCTAATAAAATGTGGTTTTCAGCAGCTGCCTTCAGCTCAGGTCATGATCCCAGGATCCTTGTGTCCAGCCCCACGTGGGGCTCCCTGCTCAGTGGGAAGCCTGCTTCTCCCTCTCTCCCCCAACGTGTGTTCCCTCTGTCACTGTCTCTGTCAAATAAATAAAATCTTTTTTTTTTAAATGTTGTTTTCAGGGGTGTCTGGGTGGCTTGGTCAGTTAAGCGTCTGCCTTCGGTTCAGATCATGATCTCAGGGTCCTGGGATCGCACCCCAAGTTGGGCTCCTTGCTCAGACTGGAGTCGGCATCTCCCTCTCTCTCTGATCCTCCTCTGGACTGTGCTATCTCAAATAAATAAATAAAACCTTAAAAAAAAAATGTGGTTTGCAATCCTATTTATTCCCTTAGAACTCCTCCCCTTCAACAAGCTGGGATGCAATTTACATGTCACATAACCTTTTTAAACCACAGCAATTTCTTGGGCACCTCTATGTTTAGAGTGCTTCTACAAGAAAACCTGATTTAACCCTGAACATTCTGCTCAGTAAGCCCAAAACTAACGTAAAATATTAGGAAACACACGATATAAACTTGAACCAAAATATCAGGTAACATTTAATAATTGCAAATATATTTATTACAATTTACAGATTAGTTAAAGTTATATACACAAATATAATTTTAGCTATAAAATCCCAACAAACTGGTTACATTTAAGTCACTGGATGTGTAGAAGCCAATTTAGTCTTCTAGTCCCCTAAATTCACCTTCCTTAAATTATACAAAAATAAAATCTGATAGTTTGATTTCAAGTTGAAGATGGAGAGGTGCTGTTATCACATTGCAACACTCAGAAAAGGAAATTTTACCTGTCTGTACAAAGCCTTTCACATGCTACACTGATACTTAAAGCACCATTGTTTAAGACTTTAAATGTATACAATGTTCAATTACAACTTCCAAGTTTAACTTTGTTCTAACAACTAGGATTGGGATGAAATGACAAGAATTTTTTCTCCTTCAGTCCAACTTAAAAACAGCCCCTTCTGTCCTTTCGGTCACTGTCTGATCACTTCCTTTAAAGGAGGGTAGTAAATAGGAGAATTCTTCACCAAGCTTTTACTCCTTTGGTAGTGAGGGTGGATCCCAAGGGAACAAGTTTCCAAAATCCAGTACATGTCAAGCTATCCCATTTTCAAATATGCAGAGGTGCTAGATTTCAGACAGCCATGAACTAGAACACTGTACTTCAGTCTGGTTTCAAAAGAATGCCCGTACCATTTTCAGAAAGCTTTCTTCAAGGCAAATGATCCCTTCTTTCCAACGGACACAGTTGGTGCTTAAAACCAGCCTGTTTTCCCAGTGTTATAGCAGAACTCTGCCAAAGCATTCCCTAGGATTCCCGAAAGTTGGAGATGCACCACACACACCGTATACCAGCTCTGCCACAATCTGACCAGCTTTCAAGCTGTTGTACTCCTGGCGCGTTTAGGTACGAATATATGTATTATTATTGGAGGCGGTTCTTAGAGCAAACCAGATAGGAATAAAATGACCAGGTAGATTGTTAACTGAGGTAGTAACTCTGCAAGCACTTCTAACAAAAAATTTGTTCCCACGATGAAACAAGTTCAAACTTAGGTCACCTGTTCTACTCATGCTTTCCATTACCTGCAACAAGAAGCACGTGGGGTAAAAAGAGACCAGGAAGGAGCTGATAAGCATTACACCTCAGCCTAGCAGAAGCACACCAAGTCAAGCTAACTAAATAAACCAAGGACAACCAGCCACTGCAAAAACTTCAATTCAAAAGAAAACTCTGGGCTAAAAATGGACTTTTTCTTGTTAAGTCTCTAAGTACCGTAAGTCTATAGTACCATCCTTTCCGAAAGTCTAGGCCTTGTCATTACTTCTCTACCAGTAGAACACAATAAACTTGGAGATTAATGAAGTCTGTATTTTACATTGCAAACTGGAAAATTCAGAAGTGCCCTTTTCCAAGTTTATAGTGTCACCCTGACAGGTTTTAAAAGTGACAGTGCTGAAGCATGAGATTAATAACACTGGTTTTCTGTTGACAGCATATACAACAAAACCAAATCGCTCTAAGAAGTCTCCTACTTTCTTCCTAGGAAAATTCTCGGCCTTTAAATATAAAAAGTAAATGTCTATGATGCAAATATTACTCTCTGGAGTAATATTTACAAATAATTACAAATTTATAAATTCTGCCTGTTGAAATATACAAAGAGCCATTGAACTGGAATGACAGTAACATACACAGAGCCCTCTCCAAGAAACAATCTGCACAGAAGCTAAACGTGTGAGACATTAAAATTTGGCAGAAAAAGATGCAGCTTTCCCAAGGTAGCAAAGAGCACTGCACACCTAAGTTTTGTGGCAGTCCTCAGATCTCAGGTAGAATTTAACCTAGAAATAAAAACCCACCACACATGTTCACCCAAAGTCATTTTTAGAAGGGACAAAGTTGACACAAGATAATTTAAGTCGATAGCATATACAAGATTATTTTCTTAGCGTTAAAGCTAGAAGGACCACATCACTGAAATAAAAAAATATATAGAGAGAAAACATAAACGCCCATTAACTTTAGAATGTTGGGTGGGAAGAGCCCAAAGTTTTCAGACAGGTACACACAATTTACATTAGAATGGAAAATGGGCTTTGAACCCTATAAATATTGTTTCCCAAGGAAGGTTTTGAAAATGTAAAATTTCACCTTAAGAGGTCTTTTACACCTCAGCAAGCACATGACATTCAAAAATACATCCAACTGAATCAAAAAAGGGAGGATCAGGAATCACACCATCTCATCATTACCAGGGCTTGCCTTCAAACGTGGCCCATTTGAGTGGGATCAGTTACAAAAAAAAAAAAAAAAAAAAAAAAAAACCATTAAACTAGGTCACTATATCCAAGTTGCATATCCTCTACAAAAAAGGACAGCTGCCAATTTTTCATTTTTAAAAGAAACCTCTCAAGTAAGAGGTAGTGTATGCCCGCGTTAGAGGCCACCAAATCATCTTAACATTGCTTGAAAGCATTAAGTCCTTTGAAGCATCTTTCCTGGAGTCTATTAAACATTCTTTCTCTGTGCTCAAACGTCAAGCAATATCCAATAGCATTTTCCGTTTCTTGAATTCGTTTCTGGAACCTGCATCCGTCCCGGGCAAATTCTTCCCATGGTCCTTTGCGGTCCTCATCACCACTTATATAATACTCAGTAACTTCTTCAAGGAAGGTTACCTATAAAGACAAAAACTAATTTTAATCATGCCCTACAATCTTAAAATCATCACTGAAGTAATTAACCCTTCATGCTAATTCTTTCAGAATATCAAATATCCAAATATCTTACAGGAATATGTGGTTTCAACTGTAACAAGAAAAAAAGAAGTTCTGACTAGATGGCATTTCAGTCAAAAAAAAAAAAAAGTGAACAAACTCCATCTTGATTTTCTTCACACATACACACACATATTCCCGACTCCCTCTTGCCATTTTGTCATCCCTCCTCCTTCCTCTTGGCTTTTGGTGTTAATAAAATGAATCCAGATGAGGAACTGAAAATTTCCTGATGTTATCAGTGCTTATTATTATTTTTTTAAATCCTTAGGGAAATACAGTTTTGTGATACTTTTCTTCCAAAATGACAAATGTTACCCAAATTTTTTTCAGAAATATTCACAATAGTTGTTAGTCAATGTTAGTCAATGCTTTTATAACAGCACAAAAGTTTTAACAAGATCTTTGCCAATTTCCAGTCTTCCTTTTTCCTTTTAAATACAATTTCACTTTTCAGTACTTTCCAATTTTTGCACCATAAACACAGTGTTACTCTTTCATTAGTTTTGTAATCAGACTATAGAAAAAGTTACCTAGTAAACAAAATACAGCCAAATTAACCTATCTTTAAGGTTATGTTAATAGAAGAGACTTTATAGTTGAGATGAAAACCCTCTTTGTATTCCTCCTCAATCTGCTACCACTGTATACACATGCAATTGTAAATACTATATTGTATTTACTATAGTGTAAATACTAAATATAGGATTTCATGTAATGAGTGAAAGTCCCTTTTAATCCCTACTTAATTTCTAATATAGAATTTTTTTTCAAGGGGCACCTGGGTGGCTCAGCTGCTTAAGCATCTACCTTCGGCTCAGGTATGATCTCAGGGTCCTGGGATTGAGTCCCACATCAGGCTCCCTGCTCAGTGGGGAGTCTGCCTTTCTCTCAAATAAACAAATAAATAAATTTCTTGAGAACACAGCAAACTCCAGAAGTAAATACTTGCTTTAAAATATGTTCAACAGTTACATCAGCTAATCCCACCGTGGCCTACTCCTTTCATTCCCTTTACATCAGGCCACGGAATGCCCTCGAGGACAATTAGCAGGTACGTAACATCTTACTAGATATTGCATTCTAGAGTTACTCATTGTGTGACTAAAGTAAGTAACAACAGCAGCATTTATCTATGTTTACCACAGGCCAGGCTCATTTCAGAGGACTTCACAATTTTTATATCATTTAATCCTCACATCAACCCTATTGGGTCTGTACTATTACCACCTCCGTCAGACAGATAAAGAAAGTAAGGTTAACTAACTTGTTTCCAACCACACCACTTCCCTCTGGTGTCATGATCAGGATTCAAACCCTAAGTGTGGCTCCACAATCTGCAGTATGTCACTGATACAGGCGGTTTAATCCTCATTCTAAGAATCAAGCGCTACCCATGATTCCCACATACCTCAAGAACGGCACCTGTTGTCAAAGGTTGCCAAATAATTCTACCATATTTTAGACATAATCTTTTATAAATGTTGCTTCTTGTTCACAATCAATAGTCTCATATCTACTTGACTCATCTCATTTTTGCTCAATGAGCAAGCTAAAATGAAACATGAGACTGGCCTGAGGTCCCTGAACAGCTACCAATTAAAGGCAAGGTGATGAATTAGGAGTTTTGCACACTCATCTCATTTAAATCATGCAGTAATTCACACATTTACAATTATTATTCCCATCAGATAAACAAGTGAATTGAGGCCATGAGAAGTCAAGTTACTTTGCAGGTCTGGCTGTTTTCCCAAATTTCTTGGCCCTACCCACTCAGCAGGAGGGAACACAGGCCTCCAGACACCCCACGCTCATTCCGTCACTCCATGTTACATCAGGCCACAGGTTAACCTATTCACTAACAGGGTTACCTACAGGTTCACTAATAGGTTTCAACCTATTCACTAATAGGTTTTTTTTAACCTATTCACCAAACAGGTCATTTTGTGAGGGTCCCCTTAAAAATAAAAAGATCTTTCATGACAGTACTTACAGAAGGGTGAACTAAATTTTTAACATGACCAATTCTACAGGTTATCACCTGTAGAGATATTTTCTACCCAGGAAGAAATCTCACAGCATTAAGCCGGCCATCTGGAGCCAACAGATTACGGCACTATCCACCTGAAACCTTCTGACACGGCAGAATCTGAGGTCAAGAACAATTTACCCTCCTTTCTCTTTCCAAATAAGTGTACACGAAACTAAAAAAACTCCCTCTACAATAAAAGATACCCTGTGTTTTGGGGGAAATTTCTCTCCAATTAATAACTTTCGCTGAAGGGCACCTGGGTGGCTCAGTCTTGTTAAGCGTCTGCCTTCGGCTCAGGTCCTGATCCTGGGGTCCTGGAATGGAGCCCTGCTCAGCGGGAAGCCTGCCTCTCCCTCTCCCTCTGTCAAATAAATAAAATCTTAAAAAAATTTTTTTTAATTAAAAAAAAAAACTTTCGCTGAATAAATAGTAGAGGGAAAAAAATAAAGCAATTCTAAGGACCTCCCCAAATAAGATGAACTTGATAAGGTGTTGAAAGAGTAAAATGTTCCATGAAGTTTTAAGACTAGATTAGGTACAGGAAGCAGGTCCTCAAGATAAACCAAATAGGTAACCACCATTGTTACAGATGATTATTAACCTGTAAGTAGCCAATAATAACTAGCACTGCATTCTCAGGAAACGGCAGTACTATTTTCTGTATTTTTCTTTTACCGTCAAGCAAAATCATGTTCATGTCAAAAGTTTTTATATTGAAATTAGCATCTTCTTTCATGGCAAACTTGCTACTTGGGTCTATCATCCCACTGGGCTCTTAACAGGAATGAAGACACGGTTAATCCTGTGAATAAAACCCAGAGCTACAAACCCAAATGGAAAGGGCACTTTCCCGCTAGCATCCATAACCCAGCCACTTCGATTTGGAGAGGAATGACATTCCACAGGAGGGAAGAAGGCAGTGCGGGCATGTCAGGTGGGGGTGCGGTGGCGGTGTCACTTCTTAATCCAAGTACACAAGGTTAGAGTCCTTCCTCAAAAACATGCACTACTCGGTCTCCTGGAGAGCCATGTTAGCGTATTTAACCATAACCAAACAGTACAAGTCGTCAGGCACAATAAAAAAAGAAGAAGAAAAGAAACAAACCTTTTTTCGCTTGATACGCGTGTGTCTTTCTCCAGAAAGAACCCCACCCGGTACCAAGTCTGGACCTTCCCTCTCTCGGCTGCCTAACAGCTGCACCTCACAAGATAATACGGTGGGACAACCAGAAGTGGCCACAGTAGGCTCAGACGGCCTCTCTGAGTCACGACAGCCTTCCCAAGTGTTCCCTGATGTTTGAAAAGGAGCCTTAAAATTTAGAAGGTTGTAGGGGTCATCGGAATGACAGAAAGAGTTCCACAGCCTGAGACTCTCTGCTTCATCTGCACTAGATTCCCAGTCCTCTTCCTCCCCAGAATTATGGTCAGGAGACTCGGGAAGGCTTCCAGTCTGGGGAGAATTCTCCACATCAGACTTGTCAGACGAATCCTTCTCGGAGTCAGAAGGGTCTCCGGGAACAAATCTGGTAGCAGTCTGAATTGTTGCCCTAAAGTTCTGGGGGTTATAAGGATCTACACTATAGAAAGAGTTCCAAAGGTGAAGCCCTTCAGAGTCCTGTTCAAGGTCTGATTCTGAGAGTGAGCTGTCACTATCGAAACCATCATCCTCCGCTTCCTCATCCCAATCCTCACCTCCGGAGTCAGAACTCACTTCTAGGTCACTGGATACTCCCCCCAAAATGTAATCTATCAGTCTGTTACTACAAGCTGGCCTGGTGGAAATGGGAAGGTCATTTTCTAGGTCTGAGGAGTCCCCAACACTTCTTTGGTCCTCTCCAGGCTCCTTCTCCACTGGTATCTCACCAGACAGCCTTCCTTCCAAGGGGCCCGGTTTTTCCAAAGCGAGTGGAACCTCTGTAGTCAACGATGCGATTCTTCCCTCGGTGGGTTCTTGGGCGGTTCCGGGAAGGGATCCAACAGAGGGAACACACTGCGTGGGACTATCTCCGCCGGATTTCAGATCCATCCGGTGCAAGTTGTGTTCCTCCTCCAGGCTGTGGTAGCCATGATCTTGGTCTGGGGTGGGTAACGCTTGCCCCTTGGTGGCCTGCTGAAGGAACTCCAGCCGTTTCGAGCGAAGATGGTGGATTTCTGGCAGGCCCTCTTTAGAAAGAGGCGGACGTCCCTGCCGGGAGGGGCAAGCGATCTCCGCCTTTGGCGGGTAGGGAGGATCACGGTCTTCAGTGAGACAGCTGCCCTCTGCGCTGAGGGTCTGGAAATCAACAGGCTCGCCACTTCCCACGCCGTTCTGATAGCCGAGCCCCACCCGGGGCAGGCAGCCCAGATAGGCGGGGTTCAACAAATAGGAGAAGGCGCTGAAATTGCTTAAACGCCGGTTTAGAGGGCCTGCGGGCGGAGAGCCAAGTTCCCGGTTAGAGCACAGATGGCCTTGGAAGCCACTCGGCAACAGCTCCACTCCCCCCCACAGCTGCGGCTCTAACAGAAAAGCGTGCGCGCCAGGGTGCAGAACTCCAGCCTGGGCTTTGAGTCCCAATTCTAGATCTGAGGACGAGCACTGCCAGTGGATGCCCTCCTCCAGCCAATCGAGGGGACTGGCAGCAGAGTCGTCCGAGGGGTCGAGCCGCTGCGACCTTAAAGATGTCTGCGCCGGGGGGGCGCCCGGGTCCTCCCGAGCCTTCAGGGCTCGGAGCGCGCTGTAGCCTCCAGCAAAATCTAGCCATCTGGTTGGAATCATCCCGCCGAAAAGCTGGCTCCAGATCAGCAGCTTCTGAAGCAAGCTGGGGAGTGGCGCGAAGAGCTGGGAAAGCAGCTTCATCCAGTAGCCGGTCCGAGCCTGGGGCTGGGGGTCAGCAGCCAGTCTGGAGTCCCCAGAGTGTTCCGGGGCAGAAGGTGCGGGCAACTTGGAAGGGCTGGGTTGCGAGCGCCGGGGAAAGAAGGAGAGCAGCCAGAACCGCGAGCCCGGCCGCGGTCGCGATCCGTCTGCTGCCGGCTCCATGTCCTTGTTCTGGGCAGTCTCTGAGGGCTGCAGGTCGGGCGTTATTCGGAGACGCCTAAGCAGTCTTGGCCTTGCCGCGCGGCGGAGTCGGGGCCCCAGGCCGATCCCCGGGCCAGGAGAAGAGCCACAAGGGGAAGCGGCTTCGGCCGCGGGCGGCGGACCACAGGCCGGAACAGCAGGCGCAGGACGCAGACGAGACGACATTCATCCTGGCGGGACGAAGGCGTCCTAGTCCGCTCGAGGCCCCTCCACCGTAGACAGAGCCCTCCCGCGGCGACTGCGGCGACTGGCCAGAGGGGACGGGCCGTTAAAAAGCCCCTTGGCAGCGCGACCCCGGAAGGGCTGGGCAGGCGGGCGCGGGTGGCAGCGAAGTCCAAAATGGCCGCGGGGCCAGCGCGGAGCAGGACACCTACAGGCAAGAGGACGACAGGAAGGATGGCGCCTGGCTACGCCACCAGCCCCGCGTCGCCCAACGCCACTCGCAGAGCCCCGGCGGGCGGGTCTTTCCGGACTCCAGCGAGCGGCCTCTGATTGGTCTCGCGCGGCTCCCTGTCGGCTTCCTTACTCTCGGCGGACCCGACCACGCGCCGGAGGTTGCATCAGCCGGGCCGAGGCTCTACGCGTGCGCACTCGTTCCCTGGTGGTCTCCTAGGAGACCGCTCCGCCTCGGCGTCCCCCGCCCGGCTCTGCCTTCTGGGCGAAAGGGGACGTTCCGAGATAACAAAAAAATTCCCAGAAGCCCTTTCAAGGGCCTAATACACACCCTAGTGTATACACTTGCTTTTCACTTGCATATATCGGGGTTCCTGTAATGTTGAGTGCTAAGTAGATCATCCGCAGGAGATCTTAGTATAATAGAAATTGGCAATACTGTGTAAGTACCTGTCTGGCGTTGACACTAATAATTTGGAGTGAATAATAATAAGAGTGCAAAACCCAAAGTGAAAAATGAGTCATTCGTATGCATTCCTGCCCCTTCGGGTTTGGGGTTTTTGAATCACTATTTAGCTTTGCCTAGGACGTAGCACTCAGTATCTAACCCACAAACATCCCCCACGAAGATGTGAACGCTTGTTTCTCAGGTAGTGCCCCTATCAGACTGTCCCCTTTCAGAGAGGCAAACCGAAGTTGCAGAGGAGGAAAGAAACATAGCCCTCGGAACAGTTGACTCTCAAATGCTTCCCAGCAGGCAACACATTTCAAGCCCTATTTGTATCCTGAGCCCCACAGAACCGCAGGATACAACCGGCGAAGAGGGACGCACCTACCATTATCCTCTGAAAAAATTTTGTCTGATTATTTTAATTGCTATATTTGATTCTCTGTTGTGAGTTGGTCTTAACTCATTTCTTTATTTCTACTAAAAGTTTTTCATCAACACCTCTGAAGTCAAATATCTATCGCAGAGGAAGTATGGCAGTTTTGAGTACTTAGGGACAGAAGAAAGATCTTTTGGGAGCCAGGAGGAAGCTAGTGGCTCTTCCTGCTTCAGTGGGTCTGTTCAAAGAACAGCTACTTCCTTCTAGGAATCTGAAAGGTCCTCAGTCTCTATGGTTTACCCCTTATTATCTTATTCATATCTCTGGAAATATCTAATTTTCAATCCTAAGAACTTCAGGAAAACATATTAAAAGGAGTCAGCTTAATAACAGAAAAGAAATCCAAGCATGCCAATTAAATACGTAAAGCCTGTTTCTTGGTTGTCAAGTGAGACTAATAATTCCTCTTTCAACATGCTGGAGAGAGCACTAATTCTATCTAATACCTGGATAGGGTAGGAGCATAAACATCAGTTAGTCTCTATTATTTATGGGCTAACAGTTATTTCCTATTGCTACACAATAAAGGCTCCGTACACCCTGTCCACCCACTATACCTTACCAGCCTTCTCATTGTAACTTCCCTTCATGCACGCTCATCCTCTAGAACACTGGACTTGTTTCCTGCCTTTACTCCCGCTGTTTCTCAGCTGAAAAAGCCCACTTCTTCCTTGTTATGCAACTACTCATGCTTCAAGGTGCATCTCAAATGTCAACTCCTTCTTGAAGCCTTTGTCCACCTTCCCAGTCAGAATTCTATGTGAGGACTTAACACGCTACGCTATATATACCTGTTATGTCCTTACCTGCTGGTCTCAGCTCCTTGAGGGCTGTATCCCAACACCTAGCCCAGTGGGTCCCAAAATATGATCTGAGCACCCCCAGGGATCCCATTTGAAGGCCCTTTCAGAGGGCCCTAAAAGGCCAAAAAAATGTTCAGAATAATACAGAGCTGTTATTTTCCTTTTTAAGTCTCATTTTCTCATGAGTGTGCAGTGGACACGTATCTTCTAGAGGACACATGATAAGTGATCTGGCAACAACAGGTGGAAATCAAAAACAGATAGAAGATTGGAGTTGTTTTCTATTAAAAGCCAGACATTAAAGATATTAAAGGTCACTCTTTTGCTATAAGTTTATATTTTGAAAAATAATTTTTCATTAAAAGTATGTTAACATGTAGTGGGTTTATTTTTTTTAAGATTTTATTTATTTGACAGAGAGATCACAAGTTAGGCAAAGAGGCAGGGAGAGGGAGAGGGGGAAGCAGGCTCCCTGCTGAGCAGAGACACCCCCCTCCACCGCCCCGCTGCAGGGCTCAATCCCAGGACCCTGAGACCATGACCTGAGCTGAAGACAGAGGCTTAACCCACTAAGCCCCAGGTGCCCTGTTTTATTATTTTTAATAAATACTTAAAATTCCTCAGCTTTGAGTTCTTAAACAGTAACACTCTTGATAGATACAATACTCAGAAACAAAAGTTCCTTGCGGTCGTCAATAATTTTTAAGAGTATAAAAAGGATCCTGAGACCAAAAAGTTTAGGAACCCCTGACATAACATGTTGACTTGCACACAACAGGTGACCAATAGTTTGTTGAATGAATGGAAGAGTATTCATAATTTATAACAACTATCATCTTCCTCATGGCTAAAGCCTTTTGCTTTCCACTCTCAACTTTGTCATTAACACCACATGCCCCTGAAAAACATTTCTTAAATCTTTCTTGAATGAGCCTCCCTTTCCCCATCTAGTCATTGAATATATAATTTTATTTTACTCACCTTGGAAGTTGTTCTAAAGGGGGAAAAAAACCCCACAATCATAAAGTATCAAAAACTATAGGAATACGTGACTTTGCATTATCAGTCCCAACAGGAAAAGTGTAAACCAGCCTCCTCAAGCCTGCTGTCAAGTAGAAGGCAAACAGAGGGTAGTTCTGGACATGGAGATAACAAGGTGTTGCCATGACTGCAGGCCTGAGGGTGAAAACAAGAAGTCCTTGGACTGCCAAGCTGACTGGGACTTTGGCAAAAGAGAAGATTTAAACCTCAGTTAATTATGTTTATTTTTAAAGATTTTGCGTGCCTGATATAAAGGGTATATTGCTTTTGACATCATTTTTTTGTCAGTACCACCTCCAAAATCTTATTTCTAGGTGTTCCACACTTTGGGTGGCTACCACCTCCCATCTTTGCAACCCACTGCGCTGGGATCCCTATTGGCAACTTAACCCCCAGAAACCCTCCTCCACTTCCCTCCTCACCCAGCGTGCATTCTGCGGTCCCCTTGCAAAGACCGTTCACACTCTTGCTTTACTCTGGCAAAACTCCAACCCTGGTTAAACCCAATTACCCACTTATTCTGAGTCTACACACTTACAGTTAATCATTGTGGATTAACTCAACCGTGTCCACTGACTTGCTTTGTGTTTGTGATGGCAAATCTCATCAGTGCCAGCCACTCTTGCAGCGGTTGACGTAGCTTTGTTTCTCCTACACTCCAAGACAGCTTCACAATGCTCGTTCTTCTAATTGCCAGCATTCCCATGAACACATTCTCAGCTTCAGATCACACCTCACACTTCACTGGGAAACCAGATACAATTGGACATAAACAACCTCATCTTTCCACCACTAACCCCACCAATCTACCTACCTTTGGGCCCACTACTCTGCCTTCAATCCCATGACAAGAAGAGCAGCCTCCTGGATCCTACCCCTTCATGTCTACCAAAGGACTTCTGGCCTCCCTTAGCCCCTTTCCTGTAACATATAATTTTCTCTCTCAAGCTTCTAGAGCACTCACATGCAGAGTTAGTATCACCTATTTTAAAAATTAAAAAATCTTGGGGCACCTGGGTGGCACAGTCAGTTAAGTGCTGGACTCTTGATTTTGGCTCAGGTGGTGATCTCAGGGTCTTTAGATCAAGCCCGGTATTGGGTTCCATGCTTAGTAGGGAATCTGCTTGAAACTCTCTCTCTCTCTCTCTCTCTCTCTCCCTCCCTCTCCCTTTGCCCCTCCCCCCGCTCTCTCTCTCTCTCTCTCTCTCTCTAAAATAATTCTTGGGCCCCTGGGTGGCTCAGTTGGTTAAGCGACTGCCTTCAGCTCAGGTCATGATCATGGAGTCCCGGGACCGATTCCTGCATTAGGCTCCCTGCTCTGCAAGGAGTCTGCTTCTCCCGCTGACCTCTCTCCTCTCATGCTCTCTCTCTTTCTCTCTCAAATAAATAAATAAAATATTTTTTAAAGATTTTATGTATTTATTTGACAGACCAGAGATGACAAGCATGCAGAGAGGCAGGCAGAGAGAGAGGGGGGAAGCAGGCTCCCTGCTGAGCAGAGAGCCCAATGCAGGGCTCTATCCCAGGACCCTGGGATCATGACCTGAGCCGAAGGCAGAGGCTTTAACCCACTGAGCCACCCAGGTGCCCCTAAATAAAATATTTTTAAAATAAAATAAAATAAATAATTCTTTAAATAATTAAAATTTAAGAAAATTTAAATACTCTCCCAGATTCGTGCCTCTCCAATTTTCTGTACCACTGCTGCAAAGTTTCTCCAACAGTCACCTATGGTTATGGTCTCTACTTTCTCAGCACCTCTTCTCTCTTCAGTGGCCTTCAGTGTACCTTTGTCCCCACTAGTCATTCAAAACAACCCTTATCCGGGCACCTGGCTGGCCCAGTGGATAGAGCATCAGACTCTTGATCTCAGGGTCGTGAGTTCAAACGCCACCATGGGCGTGGGCCTATTGAAGAAAACAACAACAACAACAACAAACAACCCTTATCAAGATCCCCTATTGAAGAAAACAACAACAACAACAAACAACCCTTATCAAGATCCCCAAGAGTTTACCAAGTCCAATCCTTTGACTGTGGTGGGTCAAACTATGTCCTCCTAAAAGATGTTTTAGTCCTAATCCCTCAGTACTTGCAAACGTGACCTTATTTGGAAACAGGGTCTTCCAAAGTTAAGATGAAGTCATTAGGATGGGTCCAACCCGGGATGATTGTGTCCTTATACAAAGGTAAGTGTGGACACAGACACACATGAATGATGACACATGAACACACAAGGAGGACACCATGTAACATGAAGGCAGAGATTGAGGTGATGCACCT